TTTTCATTGATCTTGCCTTTTATTATCCAATGTTAGGAGAAAGTTTGTAGGAAATTGTGGTGCTACCCTAAAAGACTCCACCTCTCTGGTGGTTCAAATCTATCAGTGGCTCTAAAGGAGAAAGATGCAAACCATCTCTTCCTCTACACTATATTTACAGCCTCCAAAAAACCTGTTAGAAAGTCAGCCATCAATTGATTCTGACTCACTGGCAATGAGTTAATGTGTTGGTGTTTGGGTTTTTGTTTTTTAGCATATTTGATATTCATCTTTGGGGACTGGAAACCTTACAGGTATTTTTAAATGCATAGATATTACAAATGTTGTTGAGTATTATTGAGCCATTAGGGTGTGCCAAAAAAAGGGAGTTGTGTACATGGGTTGCTGTAACTCAAATATATAATACAGGTACTATCTGTACTTTGAATTACTATATTCATCCTTTATTTAACAGCAGTCTAAATCTTGAACGCCTAAAATACACAACTGCAAATTTAAATGCTTCAATATGCAGTTCTCATTTTGGATAAGACTTGTTTCATTAAAGAGAAAATGTGAGAAAGTGCTCACCTGGTCAATGATCTTCTCCACGCCTTCTAGAAGTCGTTTGCTTTCTTCCTCGATCGCCTTGGTTTTTGATGATATACTGTTGGTGATTCCTTGTACGCCTTGCACTTCAGAGACTAGATGATTGAGAGGGTCCTTCCAAGAGCGTAGCAACTGGAATATTATCTTCAGAAGATTTTCAGTCTACTCCGTTAAATGATAAAAATGAAATCAAAGTAAGTATAGGAAAGAGGTTACTTAAATGTGGTTTTTGCTGAGAGATGGACCTTTGTTACTTCTGTTTGTATGTAAAATATTTCTAGATGACAAAAGCTGTAGAAATGTATAATTTAAGCTACTTTGTGCTTTTTGTATGTAAAACATAAAATGTAGTTTATGGTGGTGTTGTGTACTTGTGCAAGTTGATTCTAATCCATTGTAGCCCATAGAACAGAGTAGAACTTCCCTAAAGTGTTGTGTCCAAGACTATGAAAGCAAATCACCAGGTCTTTTCTCCCATGGAGCAGCTGGTGAATTCGAACTGCCAGCCTTTAGATTAACAGTCAGCCACTTAACTGTTGGGCCACCAGAGTTCTTTTATTGACTTGCCAGTTGTTAAACTAATTCTAATTATGCAGCTATGAAAGAATTCCTTGTCTAACAGGAGCTCATATTACACAGGGAAGAATTTTATTTTCCCTATGAAATCTATCTGTCCCCTCAGTGACTTTGGTTGTTTTGCTTATTTCTTGGGGGTAGAGGGAAACCTCATGTGGGTTTTGTTGGACCTGATTTGTATGCCTGTCATATCTGACTCAGGAGAGACTGCACCGGTGACAAGGGGCTCAAATAGTTTACACCCCTTGATTCATTCAGACTGAATGAATACAATTGTGTATTAATGTATTTACTTCTGATTTTCAGTTTTATCTTTTGTTATCAGGACAAAGAGACAACATAGAAGAGACTGCATCCATAAGTATGCCTGTTCTCAAAACAATCTTTTGTCTCCTGGAGGAAGAAAATAACACATATGACTCCACAAGGGAAGATTTTGTCTCCTCATTTATGTTTATCAATAAATAGAGTCATATATAAAACTCCAAGTAGCCGACCATCTCTGCTTTCAATTGCTAGCTCTGTTGATGCTCTTCAACTAGCCTAGTGACAACAGAGAAAAAGAGTACAGAAGGATTGACTGGACATTGCAATGGAAATGTGTGCTGGACCATGAAAGAAAGGAACTGTAAGAAAGTGCAGGTCAGACAGTGAGTGGACATTTGGTTTTTCTAGGAGAACTGCAACATAACAAGTGAGTAAAAACTATTAATTGCATGAAATCCATTCTTGCTGTTCACCAGTCATCTGACTGGTACAAAGTCCAAAATCTCTCTGAGCCTCCTTACGTGACAGGATTATTGTGAAGACTCAGTCTAACAACGTAGGTAAGGTGCTTTGTAAAGTTTCTGACTATGTAGAAGGAAATTTCAATAAATATTCAATTTCTCCTCTTTGGTGTTCTCAACCACCCTACCACTTTTCTTCTTCTTTTTGTCAGGATTATCATTAACGACATTAACAGACCAAGAAAATACCAGAACCATTAGTAAAATTGTAAAGTGGAGTTATGTTTTTACTTGCCATTGAGGTAGAACAGACTCATAAGTGCCCCACTATCAAGTTTTCAGAAGTTCCAAATCACATGGAAGGTGAATCTCCCACTTTTCCCCTTGAGTGGCTATTCTGGTGGAATCAAACTACTTATCTTTAGGCTGTCAGTACAACACTTTGCCCACTAGGCCACCAGAGCTCTCTAAAAGAAGGAAAGAACAGAGTATATATGTGAAAATGTTTCTTTAACATAAAAACTGTGATTATGGCACTGATTCAGAGAGAATCCAATTATATGCATAAAAACTGTAGTGTATGTAGATGACTGGGTCATGAAAAGGCAGATTTTATTATCATGTGAACAGAGACAATAATTATATCCAATAGAAGTAAAATATATCGCAGGACTTATTTTGGAGCAGTGTGATTTATAATATAGACAGGGGCAGAGAAGTCAGTGTAGAAAAATGAAGTAAAGCATCGAGGAAGTAAGAAGAACCAGGTGGAGAAACTTAAAACTCCAGAAAGAAATGGTTAAAAGAATTCAATGAATTCAGCAGATTAATTTCTAACATCTACATAAATTCTTCTAATCTTACATTTTACACATGGATGCTAATTTATGTCAAGTTTTCATAAAGTATAGTATCTACAATCTATCTCTAAGATTAAGTCATTGTTGGCTTCAGGAAAAGTTTATGTATTTACAATTTAGTTTGACACTAGCATTTGAGTTTCCTCCAGATTAATTAATAGCATAATTTCTCTTTGCTTGTTTATTCCTCCTCTAATTTCCTCTGCATTCATAATTATCATGACATTTGTTGTGGTTGTTGTTATGTGCCATCAAGTCAGAACTGACTCACAGTCCATCTTGCTCCAGGTTTCCAGAGGCTATAATTAACAGGAGGTTACCCATCTTTCTCCCACTTGGCAGCTGGTGGATTTGAAGCACATGCCTTTGGACAGGCAGCACCTTTCTTGACCCACTAGATCACCAGAGCTCCCTCACCATGGCTTGTTAAAATAGCTTTAATATACTATAGTTGAATGATAACAACCCATCACCCCTTTCCAAACAACTAATGAAAGTCTAGACAAAAGACTTACATCTAATTTTTGTGCTTCTTCTTTGGTGTGAGGAGTACTGATGGAAGCAGTATGGCAGTTGTTCATGGCCATGGTCATAAATTCTTGACCCAGGCCATAATGTTTCTCCTAGAAATGAGCAAGCAAATTAAATTAGGCAGGAGTGCTTGGGCACTAAATAAGTGAATCTATTATCAAAAATGTTAACACGTTTCATAGACATTATTTAATTTTTTTGTTTGTTATTTTAGTAAGTGGGAGCTACATAAACTTTGAAAGAAAAAATTTAAGAGTCCCTCTATATATTTTTTAAAAATTGTCTCTATAAACTCAACTTTATTTTTAACTTTAAAAAATTCCAGTCTCTTCCCTTCTTTTAAATTCGCTGGCTTATTGTCAACCTCTATACAGGTTACTATATGAAGAATAAACACCAAAAATAAGAAAAATGTGAAGTGATAAATGTTTTATCTTAATATTTAATATTTGAGCTAATTGCTTTTTTGTATGTGGACCTATTTATTCAGTTTTTATAATCTCTTTTGCTGTGTGAGGGCCAGAGTTGATATACTTGTCTTGATAGGTATTTTACACTAATACCTTTTGCTTGATTAACCTCTGAACCAAAACATTTTATATATTACCTAGTTCATGATAGATGTTGAGTACAATTTTGTTGACTGTGTCAAAAAGTCAGACAAAAAAGGGCACTGGATTTCAGCAATTGAAAGGAAAAAAACTTAGCTAATGTAGTAATGAAATAGTAGAAGAACCTTTAGCAAAATGCTATGAACATTTAAAGATGACTAGAAAGATTTGGAGGACAAAAAATGGCCAGTCAAAAGCAAGATGGCCTCATTAAAAAAATGGAGGATGAAAAAAAAAGCTTTTCTTATGCAGAAATAAATATATAAACATATTATACAAACTCTAGGTCATGGTTTTTAGTTTTGTTTCTTTAATTACTGAAGAAGTAAATTTGTTGTCTGACCTAAATAGGTTTCTTAACATGCAATTTTCAAAGGTACCACCACCAGAAAGAGAATTATGATTTTGACTTCTAAACCATACTTTTTTGTTGTGATTATAGATCTATATCCTGGAAATACTACATCACTGTTTCCCTTCAAAGGCGCATGAAAAAATGTTTTATTATTTGTTTTCCTAAAAGAGAGTTCAACTTTATTTAATGGTGTTGAATCCATTGAGTTTATTGAATGCAACAGTCATTGAGTGCATGCAGAGACATGGTCCCTACTGGAAAGAAAAATAATAATCATTCTTCCTTTCCTTCATTCCCACCTCAAAAGACTTTGTCAAATATCTAAAAGAGATTTTTTAATCTTCATACTTTTTGAAAAAAATTGTAACATCAGGCTGTATTATGAACTTGTCCCTTTACTTTTGTTTCATATTTAATTATAAGATGCATTTTTTAAATCTAAAAATAAAACTAGTTGCCAGTTGAGTTGATCCTAAATCACAGGAACCCTATCCCCCACAGTTGTGTGCCCGGGTAAAATTGTGCTGAGTCGGGTTTTCACTGACAAACGTTTTGGAATTAGATCACAAATACTTTTGGGTTGACTTGAACCTCTAACCTTTTGTTTAGCATCTTAACTCTTTGCACAATCTCAGACTTCACTTTTACCTGTTAAGCTAATCTACTTGAATTTGGCTCGTAAAGTTTTGCAGTTGAAAATTTAGTAGGGCTAGTAGTCACACCAAAATTTCTGCTGGGAGGAAGCAAGAAGTGGTGTACTTACAAATTCGCTGAATGTTTCTGCGGCGAGAATATGGAAGTAGTTAGCCACGTGGATTGCACGCTGGAACATCTCCCAGAGCGGCACCTGGCATTTGCCATCCCCGTAGGGACAGACAGACATAGAGGACACACTCTTGCACAGGAGCAAGTTGGACACCACCAGCAGCAAAAGCAGGCATGATCCTGGGTAAATGAAAACATGAGCAATGCTGAGGGGGCCTGTGCAACCGGGGAGATCTAAAACAATACAGTAGAAAGATCTTTTATTGCTTTCATTGTCCGCAGTTGCATGACTGGATACTGCAATAGACAAAGGGCCAAGGGAAAGAATCAATGCCTTCCACTGTGTAAATTTAGATGTATAATTATATTTGTACAGATAAATAGTTTGAGAGAGAGGTTACTCGTGCATTCTTATACTACTCCCAGAAGTGCTTCTGCACTTTGCAAACATTTGGAGCTTAAATTAATTTTGAGCCAGGATGTCTAGGACATTCTTTTAAGCTACTTCAATGTCCTGGAAGTTCCTACAGCTTATCCAGCAGTGGGACTCTCTAGGAGTTTACAATTTTCTAACTCTTATTTAATTCTGTATTGCTTTGTCCTTGCAGGAATTGACATGGATCATGTATCATGGATTGGAATCAACATATGATTGATTGATTGCTAATAGTGAGTATGAAGAGAATTCTAAAATAAAAGTGATGGTGTGGGCTGCATCTGCTGATTTGGTATAACAATCCTGTGCATTTGCTTGAACATTTTACCAATGACTTTTAAAGTTTTTTTCTTGAGCTTGACAATAACCTGATGACATACACCTGGCTTTCCTTTTCACCATTTCTACTGACAAGATAGACAACAGGATTGCACCTAACTCTAACTACTAAAAGCAGATGGAGGAAGCAAGATGACAGTTCAGAGATCTTTTTCCACTCTGCATGTAACACGTACCCATGGGTTCTCAAACTGTCTAAAAGTAACAGGGACTGTACCCATGGTCATGGAAAGTCAGTATTTGCAGAGGTCACTGCTGTCACTTGTCAAGAATAGGCAATAATGATATTGCCTTTGATTATATGATAAAAAGACCCTGAGAAGTTGATGTTGCTCACTGCTTTTGCATACCCACTTTTTATGAGACAGTGATTGGAAGCAATTAAAAAAGACACTTTGAAAAAGAAGAAAAAAAAACACCCCACATTATGTAGCTATCAGATTAAGTCTAGATTTTAACTTCATTGAAACTATTTCCAAAGAATATAAAATGTGTTTTTCAGAAACTAGGTTTCCAAGAAACCCTTAATCAATGCAGCTGGGAATGTTCAGGATAAAACTAAGCAAGTGATAAAGATTTATGTGTGAAAAAATATCTAAAGATAAATTGGGTGTATTATTATGACTATTGTTAGATGACATTGAGGAACTCTATTCCTTACAATCTTATATACAATAGAATTAAATACAACCTAGTAGGCTATAAGTCAATAACCCTTTAACTGTAATAATAATAATAATAATATAATCAATGTAAGAGATATTTTATAAGTTTCGTCTTATATATGTCATAGTCACATAAGGCATGTGATGGGCATTTTATCATCATGTATAAAGAAAATGAGCTTTCCAGGTAGAAAAATTAGAATATTGGCTCTAGGAAATTAATGTAATTGGATCGATTTGTAAAACTCTGAGGGCCTTTGTTGGTATATTTATCATCTGAGGAATTCTCACAATAGAAGAGAAAATAAAATTGGCAACTATTTTGGCTTTTGCTTCAGAAAACAAGCTTTATGATTGTTGTTAACGTCCTCTCCCTTCAAATGTCACCCAAGAAAGTAAAGACAGAATATTACTATTCTGCTTTCTTTTTGAAGATTCTTTTTTTAATGGGGGTATATACCATGAAATAGAATTTTTTGTAAAGAAAAAAACCCAATGTTCTTAAGTTCTCTGAGATGTAGATTGCGTTTTGTTTTTCTTTTATCAATAACATTTCATGGAAAGAAAACAAGCTATTTCCCCATAATTTATTAGATAAGTTTCAGTCTCTGATAAAATATTTACAATACTAACATTTCTGAACTGTTGTCATGCAATTCATACATAATATCAGATATAAAGGAACCTAAAGCTAAAATTGTGATATTAGTAAAGAGAATATTGACTATACCACGGAATACCAAAAGAACAAATAAATCTGTACTGGAAAGCAGAATGTTCTTTAGAAACAAGGATGGTGAAATTTCACTTCATATGCTATTGGCATATTTTCAATAGACACTAAATCTTGGAAAGGGACATTATGCTTAGAAGCCTTAAACATAATTAATTGACTTGGCTCACACCAAATTGATAAAATAGTACAAGAGACATTTCTACACTCAATGTCTACACTGTGGCTTCAGAATTTACTATTTTCACCAAGCTTTTGTGACTTTACCAACATATATAAATGCAATTTCCATGTAAATAAATGTTAATTTTCTACCTTCTGGAGATTATAAAAAATATTGAACTCATATGCTCTTCTTTTATTCCAGGGGTTCTCATCCTCAGCATTTGGGGATGTACAAGCCCTTTTTGTCAAGGAGTGTCATACACATTGTCAGATGTTAGCAGAATCCGCAACCCTTTCTCATCTGATGCCAGTTACAGCAGTCAAAACCATTTCCAGACTTTGCCAAATGTCTCCTGAGTTGTAAAATTCCACCCACCTACCTACCCCACTCCAGTTAAAAATAATATTTGCTTTCTACACTGTCAATATACAACTGCCTTTCATAAGTTTCTTAGCTGTTTACCAAAAACTCTTTGTTTATAAAAAATTGGAATCTAATGTCTCCAAACAAGTGCTGGTAAAACCAATAGTTTGCTTAGTTGTTACACATACCTTTTGGTGATGACACCTTGTTAGCCATAGTGGTAATAAGTGGAGAAAATCTCCTTGACCAGAGAAGATCTGGAACTCCTATAGCCTTCCCTTTCCCAGACATTGGCTTTATAAGTCTTTGACATCTTCATGAATATGAAAATGGGTCATTCCTTTCCCTTACCTGGTCATCCATTTCCGTCACTGAGATTACCCCCATAATTTCAAACATCAAATGGTATTTTAATTCTTATTCATATTCAGGAAGGCATAATTACCAGAAATGAACATCCTAGGAAAGAGTTTGATTAATTAGACCAAAAGGAAATGAAAAAAAAAATGACAAAAGTGTGTTCTGGAGAGTAGGTTACAGAATCCGTAAAACTGTGATAGACATTTGTCTTCAATGTATCTCCTTTTTCTAAATTTTCCTGAATATATAGCACCACATTTTAATTGGGCAATATTGTCATGTATTATAGAAGAGTTAATCAATATTTCTAGGTGAGGTATAGATTTTAAAACTGACAAACTAATCACTAGGAAAGACTGAAAAATTATCTTTTCTCAAGTTTATTCTATTTCCAGTTATACTCGCATTACTTTTCTCTCATTTTCTTTTTTTCTTTCTTATGCATTCAAATTGTTATTTTTTTAAAAAAATGCATATTTGTATAATAATTAGTTTTATACTAATGTGATACTAAAGTATATTCTTTCTCTTTATCTCATTTGGTTTTAACATCAAGTAAACATAGATTTCCCCCTCTCCTCACTTTCCGGAGTAAGGAACAAAGACTTAGATTGAATAACAAGGATAGAACACAAAATTCATTGCTGTTGAGTCAGAACTAACTCATAGCTGATCTTGTTCTGAATTTATGAGGCTGTAAAATGAATGTATTTCTTCCTTGGAGTCACTGATGATTTGAACCAGAAGTGAGTCCTTTGAGCATTCTATGGACACACTGTTTATAGGAATATAGAAACTAGGAAAGCAGTCTGGGGCTGAGAAGGCTATAGAAGAAATGTGCACAAAGTGACTAAAAAGACTCTGGCCTGAATCAGGCAAACTTTAGTCCTCAAACTAACATCATTGCTACTCAAAAGTTTGGGCAGGTCCCTGACCGCAAACTTCCACTGTATAATATGTCTCCTGATCTCCTGACTAAGGATACCAAGAGTATTGATTGAGGATCTAAGGAAGTTGAAGTTGTTGACAGTTTCAATCAATCTTTTCACCATCTATCATGATGTTGTCTTTTTGTCTAGTGGTGAGAATTTTTGTTTTCTTGACACTGCAATCCATGTTGACAACTGAGTCCTTTACACTTTCAGCAAGTAAGGTAGAAGAAAATTAGTCACATTAAACCCTGGAAGGGTGAATGCTTCAAGAGAAATCAGGAAAGATGTGAGGAAGGTTGGAAAAAGAGCCAATTATCAAGTATTTGTGTGCTCCTATATTTTATTCTATAATTAACAAGACATCAGCACAGGCCTTATTCAGAAGAAATGATAAAGAAGTTTCTAAAGGTATATGCACATGTGCACACACATGCATTTCACGTAGGTGCACGCGCATGCGCGCGCGCGCGCGCGCACACACACACACACACACACACACACACACACACGTCTCAATACTTAACATTTCGTTGTTGTGTACCATCAGGTTAGAACCAAATCTATAACTGACCTTCCAGTGGGTTTTCAGAGGCAAGTAACTCATACAGGAGGAAATAATACCTGATAAGTTGTTTTTAAGTACTGTTGAGTCATAGGCTACTCATAAAGACATGAACACTTGTATAACTTCCATCCTTTCTCCAGGTTCATAGGGTTTCAAAATTCTAACCAATCATTATTACTGTCCCTAAAAAGAAAAATGTAAAACCTGTTATTAGTTTCTCATCACTATGACCTCTCTGACTTTTAGTTACTCTGGGGCCAAAGTGACAAAAATTCATCTTTCATGTGTTCAAAATTTCCATTTGCTTTGAGAAGATTTCCTTCACAAATGGCAATAATGAATAAGTGAGTTGATGACTTTCTATCCTTTTGAAGTCCAGATGGTGGGCATATAAAGTAACCTGTGACCTTTAATTCCCATTTGACTCTACATCCCTTATTGTGTACTGTAACCTGTGAGAAAATTTTTTAATCATCTAATATATTATTTAATTTTTCCAGAATGTGGAAATTGAACAACATCATTATTATGAAACACAAGCAAAGTTTGCTGAAGGTAATTAAAAAACAATTTCAGCATACGTATAAAGACAATTGTCAGACATTTAAATTGGATTCAGAAGAGAACTTGGAATGAGCAATGTTATTGTTAAGGTCAAATAGAGTTTTGTTGAAAGTAGAAAATGTAGGAAAGATATCTATTGTTGTTGTTGTTGTTACATGTCATTGAGTAGCCTATAACTCACAGCAATCCTACATACCCTCTGAACTCCTGCCCTATCCTGAGCCAATTTCATTATCTCTGACAGATCTAATATAATTTCTCCAGTCACTAAGTCAATCTGTCTCTTTATGGGTCTTCCACTTCTGCACTGTCCCGCTTCCTTTCCAAGCATGATATCCCTTTCCAAGAACTGGTACTTCCTGGCCAGGTACCCAAATTATGTGACACAGAGATTCAAAATCTTTGCCTCCAGGGTTGCTTGGTTTTACCTTCTCCAGGACAGACCTGTATGTTCTCCTTGGCATTCCACGGTATGTTCATGACTCTTCTCCAGCACCACAACTACAAGGCATTGATTCTTCATCTATCATCCTTAGTTACTGTCCAACTCACTGATGTATAGTAAGTAACTATGAAGACCATGGCCTGGATCAGGTGTACCTTAATCTCCAGACTGACATCATTGCTTTTCAGTACTCTAGAGAGGTCCCTGAGAACAGACTTTCCCAATTCAATTACTCTTTAAATTTCCTGAATGCTGGTGCCAAGAGTGTTAATTATCCACAATCTCAATCTCTTTTCTGTCCTTCATTAAGCTTTCAATTGGCCAAGTGGTGAGAATCTTTTTCTCTTGATATTGAGCTTTAGTCTATACTGAAGACTTCCTAAACACCTCATGTCCTCTTCAACTTCCTTAAGCAAGGTTGTATCATCTGAATAATACAGGTTTTTGATGAGTCTTTCTCCAATCCTGATTCTCTTCATGAAACCCAGCCACTTGAATTATCCGTTTTGCATATAGATTGAAAATGTGTGAAGATAGAATACATTCCCGGTGCACACCTTTCCTGAACTATGCGACATTTCTCTGATATGTTCTTACTACTGCTTCCTGGTCTAAGTATAGCTTTTGTATAAGCACAATTAAGTGTTCTGGGATTCCCATTTTTCTCAAGATTAGTCACAATTTGTTATGATCCATACAGTCTAATGCCTTTGCATAGTCAATGAAACACAGATAGACATTCCTCTGCTACTCTCTGCTTTCAGCAAAGACCCATCTAACATTCACTATGTTGTCCCTAGTGCCATGGCCATTTACCTGTATTTTAATTACGGATAATATTGCAAAGAACAAAGAGCTCTGGTAGCCTATTGGTAAAATCTGTGCTGCCATCCCAAAGGCGCATGGTTTGATTCTACCAGCTGCTCCATGGGAGAAAGATGGGCAATATCCTCCCATGCTATTAAACTACTTCTGAGAATCTGCTAGAGAATCAGTTATGGGTCAGTTTTGATTCAATGCTAAACAACAACAATAACATTTCAGAGAGTGGGGATTGAAGAACAGTTGTTCTCTGTACGAAGAACAAGAGACAGTTGTTTAAAAAAAGGGTTATATTGCCATGTTTATAATCGAGAAGTACACGTCACAGTTTTAGTCTTTCACTGTACTTATCCAATCTATATGCTGAACAAATAGTCTGATAAACTGGACTATATAAAGGAGATTGTGGAATCAGCATTGGAGGAAGATTCATTAGCAACCTGAAATATGCGTATGATTCAATTTTACTTGGAAAAACTAAAGAAGACTTAAAACACTCATTCATGAAAAACACTTTCTAGCCTTCAGTACGGACTATACCTTTACATAAAGAAGTCAGAATTCTTCACAACTACACTCAAAAGCAACATCATGATAAGCAGAGAATAGATTGAAGTTGTCAAAGACCTCAGTTTGTTTGAATCTGTAATCAATGTCCCTGCAAGCAGCAGCCTCCCCCAAAATCTATCAAACAACACATTACATTGGCCAGCTCTCCTGTAAAAGCCATTTTTAAAGTATCCAAAAGCAGAGATGTTACTTTGAAGACTAATGTGCCTTATTCCCAAACCATAGGGGCATTTTCAACTACATTGTGTGTGTGTGTGTATATATATATATATATATATATATATATATGCAAAATCTGGATAATGAATAAAAAAGATCAAGGGAGAATTGATGCATTCAAACTATGGTGTTGATGAAGAATATAGAATATACCATGGACTTTCAGAAGAATGAACAAACCTGTTTTAGAAGAAGTGAAACCAGAAAGTTCAATAGGAATCAGGATGATGAGACTAGACTTTGTCTTACATACTTCAAATATGTTATCAGCAGGTATCAATCTGTCCTGAGAAGGATTTGGTCAGTAAAAAAAAAAAGAAAGTCCCTTAGTGAGATAGAGTGACATAAAATGGGCTCAAACACAGCAATTGTTGTGAAGATGGTACAAGCTGTTGTACATAAGGTTACTATGACGTGGAACCAACTTGAGAGCATCCAACAATACACTTGGTGTTTGGGTCATGTAAGTGGTTTGGGAAGTACCTGATTAGCTGTTCCTATGCATTACCAGAAATCTTAACAAAGACTAAATTTTCTGAAAAACTTATTGCCTTAGCTTAAATGGTCTAAGATTGTGAATCATAAACATGATGATTTAGGGGCCCTAGCTGCACTGCAATCTCAAAGGCATGCAGCTTGAATCTATCAGATGTTCCGTATGAGAAGGATGGGCAATCTCCTCCTGTGAGATTAACTTTCTGTGAAAACTTGCTTAATGGTCAACTATGGGTAAATTCTG